TTCTTTCAAAACAATAAATTGTCAAGTTGAATATTTTGAAAATTGAATTTTTTGACGATGGAATTTTTTTGACAAATGTATTTTTTGACAATTGATTTTTTCAAAAATCGAATTTTTTGACAATTAAATTTTTCGAATTTTTTGACAATTGAATTTTCCGAATTTTTTCGACCACGAATTTTTGACCAGTTAAACCTTTTTTTGAAAATTGAGTTTTTTTGAAAATTGAATTTTTGGACAATTAATTTTTCCTAAAATCAAATTTTTTGACAATAATTGAATTTTCCGAATTTTTTTGACAACAAATTTTTGACCAGTTGAACTTTCTATGACAATTGAGTTTTTTTGAAAATCGAATTTTTTGACAATTAAATTTTCCGATTTTTTTCGACAACGATTTTTTGATCAGTTGAACTTTTTTTGACAATAATAATTGGGTTTTTTTGAAAATCGATTTTTTTGACAATCATTAAATTTTTTTTTTTTTTTTTTTCAAAAGTTGAATTCTCTTCGACAATTGAATTTTTCCAATTTTCTCGAAAAAGAATTTTTTGACAATTGAGGAGTTTTTTTCAACAGTTGAATTTTTTTTGACAATTGAATGGTAATTTTAAATTTTGACAGTTGATTTTTTTTTAAACATTAAATTGGCAAGATGAACATTTTTCTTTGATAATAGATTTTTCTTTCAAAACAATAAATTTTCAAGTTGAATTTTTTGACAATTGAATTTTCCGAATTTTTTCGAAAACAAATTTTTAACCAGTTGAACTTTTTTGACAATACATTTTTGAATTTTTCGGCATTGACTTTCGTTTTCGACATTTTTTTTTTACGATTAATTTTTTTCGAAAATCGATTTTTTCGAGAATTGAATTTTTCGTATTTTTTCCACAACGAATTTTTTGACAATTAAGATTTTTTGAAAATCAAATTTTTTGACAATAATTCAGTTTTTTCAACAGTTAAATTTTTTTTGACAATCGAATTTTTTGACGATGGAATTTTTTTAATATGTAAATGTATTTTTTTAACAATTGATTTTTTCGAACATCGAATTTATGACAATTAAATTTTTCGAATTTTTTGACAATTTAATTTTCCGCATTTTTTCGACAACGAATTTTTGACCAGTTAAGTAAACCTTTTTTTTTAAAATTGAGTTTTTTTGAAAATCGAATTTTTGAATTTTTTGACAATTAATTTTTCCTAAAATCAAATTTTTTGACAATAATTGAATTTTCCGAATTTTTTTGACAACGAATTTTTGACCAGTTGAACTTTTTATGACAATTGAGTTTTTTTTCGAATTTTTTGACAATTTAATTTTCCGCATTTTTTCGACAACGAATTTTTGACCAGTTAAGTAAACCTTTTTTTTTTAATTGAGTTTTTTTGAAAATCAAATTTTTTAATTTTTTGACAATTAATTTTTCCTAAAATCAAATTTTTTGACAATAATTGAATTTTTCGAATTTTTTTGACAACGAATTTTTGACCAATTGAACTTTTTATGACAATTGAGTTTTTTTGAAAATCGAATTTTTTGACAATTAAATTTTCCGATTTTTTTCGACAACGATTTTTTGATCAGTTGAACTTTTTTTGACAATAATAATTGGGTTTTTTTGAAAATCGATTTTTTTGACAATCATTAAATTTTTTTTTTTTTTTTTTTCAAAAGTTGAATTCTCTTCGACAATTGAATTTTTCCAATTTTCTCGAAAAAGAATTTTTTGACAATTGAGGAGTTTTTTTCAACAGTTGAATTTTTTTTGACAATTGAATGGTAATTTTAAATTTTGACAGTTGATTTTTTTTTAAACATTAAATTGGCAAGATGAACATTTTTCTTTGATAATAGATTTTTCTTTCAAAACAATAAATTTTCAAGTTGAATTTTTTGACAATTGAATTTTCCGAATTTTTTCGAAAACAAATTTTTAACCAGTTGAACTTTTTTGACAATACATTTTTGAATTTTTCGGCATTGACTTTCGTTTTCGACATTTTTTTTTTACGATTAATTTTTTTCGAAAATCGATTTTTTCGAGAATTGAATTTTTCGTATTTTTTCCACAACGAATTTTTTGACAATTAAGATTTTTTGAAAATCAAATTTTTTGACAATAATTCAGTTTTTTCAACAGTTAAATTTTTTTTGACAATCGAATTTTTTGACGATGGAATTTTTTTAATATGTAAATGTATTTTTTTAACAATTGATTTTTTCGAACATCGAATTTATGACAATTAAATTTTTCGAATTTTTTGACAATTTAATTTTCCGCATTTTTTCGACAACGAATTTTTGACCAGTTAAGTAAACCTTTTTTTTTAAAATTGAGTTTTTTTGAAAATCGAATTTTTGAATTTTTTGACAATTAATTTTTCCTAAAATCAAATTTTTTGACAATAATTGAATTTTCCGAATTTTTTTGACAACGAATTTTTGACCAGTTGAACTTTTTATGACAATTGAGTTTTTTTTCGAATTTTTTGACAATTTAATTTTCCGCATTTTTTCGACAACGAATTTTTGACCAGTTAAGTAAACCTTTTTTTTTTAATTGAGTTTTTTTGAAAATCAAATTTTTTAATTTTTTGACAATTAATTTTTCCTAAAATCAAATTTTTTGACAATAATTGAATTTTTCGAATTTTTTTGACAACGAATTTTTGACCAATTGAACTTTTTATGACAATTGAGTTTTTTTGAAAATCGAATTTTTTGACAATTAAATTTTCCGATTTTTTTCGACAACGATTTTTTGATCAGTTCAACTTTTTTTGACAATAATAATTGGGTTTTTTTGAAAATCGATTTTTTTGACAATCATTAAATTTTTTTTTTTTTTTTTTTCAAAAGTTGAATTCTCTTCGACAATTGAATTTTTCCAATTTTCTCGAAAAAGAATTTTTTGACAATTGAGGAGTTTTTTTCAACAGTTGAATTTTTTTTGACAATTGAATGGTAATTTTAAATTTTGACAGTTGATTTTTTTTTAAACATTAAATTGGCAAGATGAACATTTTTCTTTGATAATAGATTTTTCTTTCAAAACAATAAATTTTCAAGTTGAATTTTTTGACAATTGAATTTTCCGAATTTTTTCGAAAACAAATTTTTGACCAGTTGAACTTTTTTGACAATACATATTTGAATTTTTCGGCTTTGTCTTTCGTTTTCGACATTTTTTTTTTTACGATTAATTTTTTTCGAAAATCGATTTTTTCGAGAATTGAATTTTTCGTATTTTTTCCACAACGAATTTTTTGACAATTAAGATTTTTTGAAAATCAAATTTTTTGACAATAATTCAGTTTTTTCAACAGTTAAATTTTTTTTGACAATCGAATTTTTTGACGATGGAATTTTTTTAATATGTAAATGTATTTTTTTAACAATTGATTTTTTCGAAAATCGAATTTTTTGACAATTAAATTTTTCGAATTTTTTGACAATTTAATTTTCCGCATTTTTTCGACAACGAATTTTTGACCAGTTAAGTAAACCTTTTTTTTTAAAATTGAGTTTTTTTGAAAATCGAATTTTTGAATTTTTTGACAATTAATTTTTCCTAAAATCAAATTTTTTGACAATAATTGAATTTTCCGAATTTTTTTGACAACGAATTTTTGACCAGTTGAACTTTTTATGACAATTGAGTTTTTTTTCGAATTTTTTGACAATTTAATTTTCCGCATTTTTTCGACAACGAATTTTTGACCAGTTAAGTAAACCTTTTTTTTTTAATTGAGTTTTTTTGAAAATCAAATTTTTTAATTTTTTGACAATTAATTTTTCCTAAAATCAAATTTTTTGACAATAATTGAATTTTTCGAATTTTTTTGACAACGAATTTTTGACCAGTTCAACTTTTTATGACAATTGAGTTTTTTTGAAAATCGAATTTTTTGACAATTAAATTTTCCGATTTTTTTCGACAACGAATTTTTGATCAGTTGAACTTTTTTTGACAATTGGGTTTTTTTTTAAATCGATTTTTTTGACAATCATTAAATTTTTTGTTTTTTTTTCAAAAGTTGAATTCTCTTTGACAATAGAATTTTTTTGACAATTGTTTTTTCGTAAATCAAATTTTTTGACAATTAAATTTTTCGAATTTTTTGACAATTGAATTTTTCCAATTTTTTAGAAAAAGAATTTTTTGACAATTGAGGAGTTTTTTTCAACAGTTAAATTTTTTTTGACAATTGAATGGTAATTTTTAATTTTGACAGTTGATTTTTTTTTTAAATATTGAATTGGCAAGATGAACATTTTTCTTTGATAATAGATTTTTCTTTCAAAACAATAAATTGTCAAGTTGAATATTTTGAAAATTGAATTTTTTTTTACAATTGATTTTTTTGAAAGTAGAATTTTTTGACAATAATTGAAAATGGAATTTTGAAGAATTTAGAAATATTTTCGAAATTTTTTTTGTTGCCGTATTCAACCATATTCAATTCTTTTTTCAAAAGTAGTTTTCCACAAAAAAAAAAATGTAAAAGCATGCATAAAACAAGGATAAAATAACAACCAAAGCAAAAAAAAATAAAAATAAAAATTTCAAAACTTGAGAAATTAATTGGAGTATCCGAGGGAGTATCAAAGAAAAACAAAAATTAAAAAATTAAAACAAAAATCAGAAAAATGTAAAAAAGTATAAGAAAAAAGAATAGAGAAATGAAGTAAAAAAATTGGAGAATTTAAATACTGAAAATCTCAGAATAGAAAATAAAATTTAAAATAAATAAAATAAAATCAAAATTTAAATTGATCGACTTTTTTCTTGTTTTCTGTAGGATTTCTTTTTAATTGGCAATTGCATTGAAATATGCTATGTAAATCGAGCCAATTCTATTAAAGTGATACGGAGCGCCATCTATTGACAATCGAGTCGACTATAAAATTACATTGAAAAGTTATGGGTGCGTTTACATTAGATTAAATTAAATTTAATTAAATTAATATTCTATTTCCAATTACTTACCTCGTCCAGCAAATTGTTCAACTCTTGGGCGTTGACGTCACTCAAATCGATTTGCAAATCGTCGTGGTGGTACTCGGCTTTCGAGTAGTCATCATAATAGTCGGTGTACATGCCGTACTTTTGGTACTCGCAACTTTGCTTCGAGGTTATGTTGAACTGCATTTTCCCGGCTACTTCATTACTGTCAATGTCAACAATTTTACTGTCAATGTTGCTGGTAGCAGGATCGATCAGCAGTTGGGGTGGTTTTTTGATTATTTTCTTGCGGATCGAGAGCCGGGGTTTTTTCAAAGTTCGTCGCTTGCACCGGTGAGCCAGTCTCCGTTTGCCGTTTTTCTCGCTCCTGAGCCACATTGTGTCGGGTCCATCTGAAGAAAATGAAAATATAATTCGATAGATGAAAAATTTGAAAATAAAAAATAAAATTAGAAGTAAGAAATTAATTTTTTTGTTTTTATTACATTTTATTTTTTTTCCAATTAAATTTTAATATTTTTTATTTTCAAATGTTTTATTTTTTAATTCTCAATTTTTTTTAAGTCAGAAAGAAAGTTGAATATGTATGTGAAAATAAATATTTGGAAATCAAAAAAAAAAAAAAATTAAACAAACAAAAATAGGAAAAACTAAAAAATTTATGAAAAATATTGAAAATAAATTTGAATACCTAATTGAAGCGTTAAAAAATTGACAAAAAAAAATTGGAAAATTTAAAAAAAAATTACAAATAGAAAAAATATTAAAAATTAAAAAGTTAAAACATAAAAGCAATTGCAAAATTGATAAAATAAAATTTTGATAATTTAAATAATTCCTGTAATGTACCAAATTCCTATAATTTCCGTGATTTTCGCAATTCCTCTGATTTTTCATATTTTCTCGAAATTTCCGGAAATTTTTAATAAATTTCGTAATTCTAATTTCTTAATTATCATTATTACAATTACTATAGTTATCAAATTATGAAAAGAAAATCCGGTATTACGAAAGCTATGAAAATGGAAATTAATAAAAAAAATTACCTACGTAGAATTGCAAAAATTAAAGTTATTGAAATTACAGGAATTACGAAAAAATTTCAAAATAATCAAAAAAAAAATACATATTGGAAAAATTACGAAAATAACGGGAATTATCCAAAAATTATGAAAGAATGCGATTATCAAAGAAAAAATTTTATCAAGAAATTACAAAAATTAGAAAATTATAAAAAAAATGGGAAAAATTACGGAACTTACGAGAAAATCACAAGAATTGCAAAAATCAAGGAAATTATAAAAAAGTTACAAGAATTACAATTAATGAAAATTACATGGATTTATTAAAAATTACAAAAAATATAACAAATTACGAAATTTATAAAAGGTAATCCGTATTACGAAGGTTACATATGTGGAATAAATTTATTGAAAAAGTTACGGAAATTTCAAAATTTACGAAAATTACATATTATTATGGAATTTACGGAAATCATTTGAAAAATAACAAGTTTTATTGAATAAGTTGAAAACAACAGGAAATACCTAATTATTATCAAAAAATTACAGAAATTATGAGGATCATAGGAAAATTAAGCCAAATTTAGAAATAACGAAATTTATTAAAAAATGTCGAAAATTAAGAGAAATTAGTAGAAATACCAAAAATCAGCGAAATTGCATTAATTGCAAAAATCACGGAAATTATAGGAATTAATATTAATTAATTAATTAATAAATTACGAATAATACAAAAATAACAGAAATTACAGAATTATTAAGGGAATTAATAAATAAATTAAGAATAATACAAAAATTGCAGGAATTCAAAATTATTTATTAAAAAATTAAATTAAAACAAAATACATACAGTCATGAGCACAAAAAGTGGGACACCCGAATGACAGGTCTTGTAATTTTTTGCTATTTTGTGTAAATCAGTATTTTCTCTACAATGGATTTTTTGTCAAATATGACAGTCCCTGTCATTGCCGTAGGTATAGCTGGTGAGCTCGTTTTACAATAGGAAAAAACGGGTGTCCCACTTTTTGTGCTCACGACTGTAAAATGAAAAATTCAATAGAAATTATTATGAAATCGAAACTGAAATTATAAAAAAGTTACAGGAATTACAATTATTAATGAAAAATTATGAAAATTACGCGAATTTATTAAAAATGACAAAAATTACGCGAATTTCAGGATTTATGAAAATTACGGAAATTCATCAAAAAATCACGAGAAATTTATCAAAAAATCACGGAAAATTTTGAAATTTATCAAAAAAAAAAAAATCAAATACCTAATACATATGTACAAAAATAATAGGAATTGCAAAATTAGTATTAGAAATTACGGAAAATATGACTTGAGAATCATAAAAAAAATTACGAAAAATGAAATCACGAAATGTTTATTAAAAAATTTCAAAAGTTACAAGGAAATACCAAAAATCACAAAAATTACGCTAATTTACATATAACAATTAATTAAAAAATTTCGGGACATTTATCAAAAAAATACGCGAAATTTACAAAAAAAAAGAAATAAAAAATTTGCAATATGAAAATAACGGAAATTATGAGAATCATGAGGAAAATTAAAATTACGAAAAATATAAAAATTACCAAATTTATAAAAAAATTCAAAAATTACGAGAAAATACCAAAAATCAAAGGCAAAAATCACGGAAAATATAAAAAATTTCAAAAATTACTCGAATTTCAGGAATTATGAAAATTACGGAATCTTATCAAAAAATTACGAGAAATTTATCAAAAAGTCACGAGAAATTTATCAAAAAATTACGAGAAATTTATAAAAAAAAAAAAATCAAATACATACATAACATGTACAAAAATAAAAGGAATTGCAAAATTATTAGAAATTATGAGAATCATAATGAAAATTATGGAAAATATAGAAATAACGGAATATTTATTAAAAAATTTCAAAAATTACGAGAAAATACCAAAAATCAAAGGCAAAAATCACGAAAATTATAAAAAATTACAAAAATTACGCGAATTTCAGAAATTATCAAAATACGGAAAATCAAAAAATCACGGGAATTTCAAAAATTACGGGAATTATTAAATAAATTACAAAAATATGTAATACAAAAATAACAGGAATTGCATAATTAATTTCCGTAATTTTTAATTTTTTGTGTTTTCTCGTAATTTCCGAAAATTTTTAATAAATTTCGTAATTTCTTAATTATGTAATTTCTGTTATTTTTGTATTATTTGTAATTTATTCAATAATTCCCGTTATTTTTGAAATTCCCGTAATTTTTTGATAAATTTACGTAATTTTCATAATTCTTGAAAATGTTTAATAAATCTCATAATTTTTGATTTTTTTTAATAAATATCGTAATTTCTATATTTTTCGTAATTTTTCTTATTATTTTTATAATTTCCGTAATTTCTTGATAATTTCGCAATTCCTGTTATTTTTGTATTATTTATTTTTTGGTAAATTTCCCATAATTTTTTGGTAAATTTCCCTGTTTTTTGCAATTCCTTTGGTTCTTGGTACCTATTATCTCGTAATTTTCGAAATTTTAAAATAAATTTCGTAATTTCTATATTTTTCATAATTTTTCTTATGATTTTCCTATTATTTTTTTATTTGTTGACAAATTTCCCATAGTTTTTTGATGGATTTTCCGTAATTTTCATAATTCCTGAAATTTGCGTAATATTTGTATTTTTATTTATTTTTTTATTTTCGTGATTTTTGCAATTCAAAGGAATTGCCTTTGATTTTTGGATATTTTCTCGTAATTTTTGAAATTTTTTAATAAATTTCGTAATTTATGAAATTTTTTAATAAATTTCGTAATTTCTATTTTTCGAAATTTTCCTTATGATATTTATAACTTCCGTAATTTCTTAATAATTTTGCAATTCCTGTTACATATTTTGGTAGTTCTTATGTATTTGTTTTTTTTTTTTTAATATGTATAAAATGTAAATTTCCCCTTATTTTTTAATAAATTTCGTAATTTCTATATTTTTCCTCATGATTTCTTAATAATTTTGCAATTCCTGTTATTTATGTATTATTTGAGTTTTTTTTGGTTAATATCCCCTTATTTTTTGATAATTGCAATCTTCCATAATTTTCTTATGATTCCCGTAATTTTGTTAGGTACAGTTGCGATCAAAAAAAAAGTAGTACAAAAATTATTAACCCCAATTTGAGCTCCCGGTGTAACATACAAAATTTTGACAGGCAATGACATATTCTAGGTTAAAAACGGGTGGAAAAATGTCAAAATAATCAAATAATGTCATCTGAAGTTTTCTAGGTCGAAAAATGCCACAAATATGTCACTTTTCGTTATGAATTAAATGAATGTACAATAGACCAGGAAATTTTGGAGATTTTTCAGGTACTACTTTTTTTTGATCGCAACTGTACATAGAATTGAAAAATAATTAAATAATTACGAAACATGTTGAAAGTTTTCAAAATAATGGAAAAAATTGGGAAAATTACAAAAATTATAAAGATTTGAAAAATTACGGAACATTTTAAATAATTTTGGAAATCACTAGAAAATGAAAAATCACAAAAATGAAAATCACAAAAATTATAAGAATTTACAAAAATTATCAAATAAATTTATGGGAATCATAAAAAATAACGAGAATAATAAAAGTTTATGAAATTTTTTTGGGAAATTACAAAAAATTAGATTTTTCTATTCTAGAGTCTTGAATTTTTTTTATTTACAAAAATTTCGAAAAAAAATACCAAATTAAAGTGCCTGGAATAAACAAAAATTAAGTTGGAAAATTGTGTGAGTAGAACCCTACTTTTCCCCCTTTTCTACACTAGTGCGGAATAGTGAAAATATCTAAAATTAGTACAAATATGAGTGCGGGAAAGGATTTTCCCGGACTAGTGCGGAAAAGTAAAATATCCAAAATTGGTAGGTGTTTAGGTACAAATATGAATGTGGGAAAGTATTTTTCCGGACTAGTGCGTAAAACTAAAATATCTAAAATTGGTAGGTAAGCATGTATGTGCATGCACATAAGCGCAACTAGGCTCCAAATTTGAGGGGTGCTACAGCACCATTGTTTTTTTTTTTTAATGGGGTTTGATGGAAAGATAATGAGACGCGCAAAAAAAAGTT